CTCGACTCCGAAACCGACCGCCACGCTAGCTTGCCTTTTTAATTGGGCCCGCCTTGCCTTCGGAAACTCGCCAGGGGGGGGGGGGTGGGAGAGGATGGAGGGAGGGGTGCAAACCCAAACGCGACGTCCCTCAACACGTTTGCTGAGTGCGCTGCTCGTGCTGCGCATGCTGTCGTTGCTGGTCGTGCTCGCTCTCGTAGTCGTCGCCGTCCCCCAGCTGTCGTCGTCGTGCTGCTCGTGCTGATGCTGGCCCCCCTCCTCGGCCTCCCCAACTCCCTCTGTTCTTTGTGTAAATGAAGTGGCTGTGTGAGTCTGGGCCACAGGCGAATACTGTATCAAACATGTACGTCCTGTTGCACGCAGGGAACTTCGTCTACATAGATACCGTCAGAGGTTGGATCGGCCATCTCCTGGAGCAAGCTTCACAGGCGGGCATGGCAGATTCGCGTGCTGCCGCAGGCGGCGACAGTTCAGGCCCCATCCAGACAGAGGTCGTCAAAGCCGAGTGCGAGTCGACCCAGCCTGGCGGCGACGGCAATGTGCAGCCGACAATGCCGTTCTCGTCGCCAGTCCGCCTCTTCGCTCACATCCGTGAGATCGACGCCACTGTGAAAACGATGCGCCCGCGCTTGAGAGCCTTCGTTGAGCTGATGCTGAAGTCTGCGCTGGGCGCCCAGAAGCTGTACAAGCTCGCGGCCACCAGAGTGGGCGGCTCTTGGCACGATCACTTCGACAAGGACGCGTCGGGCGACACTGTCCTGAGACATTTCAACCACAACGTTGCGGTCATCGACAAGATTATCATATACCTTGAGAGCCTTCACTTGCTTGCCGACCCAGACTGGTGGCTCGACGGCGAGTCACTTTCAAAGAGCAGCACCAAGCCCGACGAGCAGACCCTCTGCAACTTCAGCAGGGTCCACCACGAGCACACCTCAGTCACGCCCTTCACCGTGCTGACCTCATCCACCCTCGATCTCCCCGAGGTCGGAGATGACATCGCAGCGTTGTTCGCGGCGTTTGCTGAGCATGTCGGCCAGCGCATGTACGACTTCAAGGCTACAGCGTTCTTGGTAGATAAGAGTTCTACGATTTCTGACGTGGAGGTGCTCCTGGGGAGCGTTCACGCCGACGTCTTAAAGGAGTGCGACGACTCGGCCCTGTATCCTCACTTGCTGCCTAAGGGCGATGCCGACAATGTTGCGAAGCTTGCGCCCATTGATGTTTCTGGAAGCAAAGGGGATCCCAAGGTGTTGGAGCTTCTCCCTCATAACCGAGCTCTCGAGCACCTGCGATGCTTCATCAGAGCAGTCATGCTGACGGAGATCGACGTCCCTGGCATGTTCAACTCAACTGTGGATGCACCGAAGCCCAGCATCGACCTGTGCATGTTCGCTATGGAGCTCAAGTGCGCTGTCGCCGACGTGGTCGCAGTCATTTCCTCAGCCGAGGTGGCTATAGGCAAGAAGGCTCGCTCCAAGGATAAGCAGTTCATGAGTCAAGAGTGCCTCTGCGGGACGGCCACCTTCATATTGCAGATCCTCCACGCTGCGCTGCAGAAGCTGGACAGCATGGCCAACGACCCCAGGGCCATGGAGTTCGAGAAGACAGGCTGGCAGCTCCGCGAGTCGATCCACACCATGCGTCACTGGTGCTTGTTGGCGGCAAGAGTCAGCGGGCGTTACGAGAGCATGCTCTTGCTGGGCATGGCCGAGGTCTTGACCAACGAGGGACAGGCGACGGCAAAGGTCACCCCTACTTGGACAGCATGTTTCGTCGACGACGTGTTCAACGAGACGATGGCAATGGCGATGCTCAAGAACAAGCTGGACGTCGTGATCAACCGCCACAACTCACTCCACACCTGCATCAAAGCCTTCTCCACGTCAGCAGCCGTGCTGTCCATCAACCCCCGCGTGCAGGACCACCCGACGACGTCCGAGTCAGTGAACGTGGCACTCCAGTTGCTGAAGGACGCTGCGGAAGCAAGCGTGGTCATCAGGGGCGTCGACCTGTTGACTGCGTATCGTCATCGCCCTGAGGGGCCGACGAAAGCGACGGAGTTCTTGACGGAGAACGAGTGTCGCTACCCCAAGGTACCGCAGTGCTTCTGGCAGTTGTTCAAGGACCTGCAGGCGCACGCACTTCCAGCCCAGCCTTTGCCAGCACAGGCTGGCGAGGCGTTGGCCCCTGGCGCAAGCGCGTCTGGGGGCGGAGCCCACCTCACGCCAGCCAAGAAAAGCTTAGCGGACGGGTCTGTTCACACTCCGACCCCAAAGAAGCCGCCTGCCCCGAGTTCAGCCGATGGCAGTCAGCACGTGAAGGCCAAGGCCCCTCGCGTTTCAGATCGCCCCGCCAAGGGTTTCAAGCGCGCCAAGCGCTCCTGAGCCTCAGGAGTTTCAAGCGCAGCAGGCACTAGCATAGCATGCAAACGTAATGCAGCATTGAGCAGACATAGACACATAAGGGATCAGCATATTGCATATATCGTGACACGCATGCTTGTGCAAACACTCTGGGCCGCTGGTCTGCATTGGGCTGGCTGTGTTTAGCTAGGGTGCCGCAATGCAGTTTAGGTTTGGATTCTAATCTCGGCTGGATGCTCTCAGAGTGCGAGCCGACGTCGAGGCAACGAGTGAGTGGTGTTGAGGGTGTTGGGGGCGCGCCATGCGTCGGGCGGTCGGAATATCGACCCCGTCTACTCCGACCGTCGGAGTATCGCGCGATGCAGCGAGCGCACCGTCTACTCCGACCTCCGACGTACGGCACATCGGGCTCCACATCGAGCTGCATCGGCGATGCATCGGCGATGCGGCGCGATACTCCGACGGTCGGCGTGGCCATTGCTTCACGTGCACGGGCCGTTGCATTCAATACCGTTGGCATATAAGGATCCTCTCACACACACGCGTAAACACATGTGCTTTAACCTGCGTGCCACTCGTGCGCCACTGATGTTGCCAGCCATTTTGTCTCATCACTCTTCCTCGGCCTCCCGTCCTCCTCCTCCACCTCCCCCTCCTACCTTTCTAATTTGTCCCCCGTCCCCCCATATGTCCTCCCAAGTCCTTATCTTCCCTTGCCTCCTCGTTCCCCTCCACCTCCCTCGCATCCCCTACCGTCCCCTCCTCGCCCCCTTTATCCTCACCCTTACATTCCTCACCCTCCCTCTCGCCCCCCTCCTCCCCCTGCCCTTGCGCCGCCGTGGATCGTGCGTGATTCTGGCGTTTTGGGAGCTGCATGCTAAATGCGCTTCGGCGCCAACGCGCTGATTTGCCGTTCAAGCTTGCGATCGGCGCGGAGTGTCCGAGTTGACCGCCCAAACCCTTCCATCAACAAGGAGTTGGCGGACCCCCCTGCCGACCCGCCCTGACGTGCATTCGTGGGGTCCTTCCAGTCCAGCCCCCCCAGACGAACCCAAAGTTGGGACATTGTCAACGAAATGTCCAGGGACGATTCTCCTACCATTGTTTACTATTTTAGTTTTGCGCTGGCTACTTTACATCTGTCGCGCGACATCCGCATGCGGGAGGACATGCCCGACCTGGGGGTGGTTATTGGTTGGAAGCGGCAGGGCGGTGCTTTATTGGGGGACAATTTGCGAACACATGTTCTTGATCATGTGTAAACGGTAAACGACAACAGTTCCAGGACTGGATCCGGAGCCAGCACAAGAAGGCGCAAGAACGAGAACAGGCTGGAAAACGAAAACGAAAACAAACACGCCGACCGTGCCGTTTCCAAGAACCAGTAAGTCGGCAGCCAGCCTGGGGGGGGGGGAAGTGAGAAGGGGCGGGCCTTCTCAGAAGGCTCGGAAGCCCTCGGGCCGCCTGAGAGTTCCCGAAAAGCTTCCCCCGAAGACACAGGGACACTTCTCAGGAGGCCCAAGGGCCTCCGAGAAGTCCCGCCGTTTTCTGAGAAAGTCTGCTCTTTCTCCCTTCCTTAGGTGTTCCCCCTTCCAAGCCCGTTCGTGCCGAAGACCGTCAGGAGACATCCGGAAAACCGCCGAAGACCGCCAGAAGACCGTCAAGGACCGCCCAGGGCTGGTGGGTAACACTGGCTGAAGGGTAACAACGAGCGCCCTTCCCCCCTCGGCGCGCCGCCGACTAAGGTCGGCCCAGCGCAGAGGGGGGTAGGGGGAGGGGGAAGGCTTCTTAGAACTTGGAAGCACCCCTGCTTCTGCGAAGGCGCGGGCTTTGTCTGTAGATGTAGGGCCGGCACGTTCTGAGAAGCAGCCTCCCCAGAGATCCGGTGTCGTGTTGTTGTTCAATACGGGGTCCCGAGAAGTCTCGACCCATTCCCCAGGACTGGTTTTTCATCCTGGGCTGTTTTTTAACGGTCCCCGCGCCCGGCGAGGGCCTCTAGAGGCCGAAACGGGTGAACAAAAACCATTTTGATATTTTCAGTATGCCAGATCTCTTGCTCCTTCGAAGAAGCCTTCTCTCTCCCCCTACCCTCGGACGTGATTAGGACGAGGATTCATCCGTTCCAGAGCGTTCCCAAACGCTCTCAGGGCCTTCTCGATCGCTCTGAGCAGCTCTTGCGCACGAGACATCCTCCAGAGCCGCCGGATCTCAGAGTTCCTCGATGCATCCTCACCCGATGTTATCCCCGTCTTAGCTTCGTCTGATACCCCCGCGCTCAGGGGCGGCCTCACCGACCCCTCGCAAACCGTCCCCTCTCGTGGCGTCCCCCTCGCCCCGCCCCAAGACGTGTGTGTGTGTGTGTGTGTGTGTGTGTGTGTGTGTGTGTGTGTGTGTGTGTGCGGCAGGAGGGGAGCACAGAAGGCCGCCTGCCCAACAGCGGCTGCGGATGGTTTGGGACAACATTTTTTGTTGGGCATTGCACCTCTTCTTCCCGTACCATGTCGGGCGTTCAAAGAAGGCGAGGATGACGCCACGGCAGGGGCCAAGGCTTGCCACGTTCCGCGTTCAGGGGCGGCCTCACCGACCCCTCGCAAACCATCCCCTCCCGTGACGTCCCCCTCGCCCCGCCCCAAGACGTGTGTGTGCGGCCGGAGGGGAGCTCGAAAGGCGAGGATATCACGCCACGGCAGGGGCCAAGGCTTGCCAGGTGCCGGTGCCGCCGTGCCCGACTCGTGCGCGCCGGCGGCCGGTTCAGGGCAGGCCCTTGGCATCGCTCGGACGTGTGCATGCTTCCTTAGGCGAGGACCATCGAGGAGCATCCTTGACCAGTTGGCGGAAAAGCCACGCACGAAACCGAAAAAAGGCGCAGGGAATGGACGTCCGAACGATGGCCAGGGCCTCCACAGCGGGCGCGCCGCGCCGCGCCGACGGAGGCTTCTCGGAGGGGGCCACCTCCTGCCGCGGCGGCCCGCGGCGCGCGGGCGGGCGGTGCCCGCGGCGGCGGCAGGAGCAATAGACGTGTCGGTATGCTTTGCGCGCTCGCAAGGGAGCCGCGGCGGGGGCCTGCACGGGACCGCCGGCTCGGAGACCGATCTTGGGAGCCCTCGGTGGGCGGTGGACATGTATATATATATATATATATATATATATATATATATATATTCCGTGATCGATTCATTCATTGATACATGCATTTTTTTATGCCGGAGTTCTATCTTCCTTACATACACATCTATATGTATGGATGGATGGACGGACGGACGGATTGATGTATGTATGTATTTACGTTTATGTATGTAATTGTGTATGTCTGTCTGTGTGTCTGTCTGTCTGTCTGTATGTATGTAGGTATGTATGTGTGTGTGGAGTTGTGTATGCGTACATGTATGTATGCATGCATGTATGTATGCATGTATGTATGTATGAAGGCATGCATGTATGCATATATGCATGTATGCATGGATGCACGCATGCCTGCATGTATGTATGTGCGTATGTATGTATGTGAGTATGTATGTATGTCTGCCTGTCTGTCTGCCTGTCTGTGTGTATGTGTGTATGTATGTCTGTATGTATGTATGTATGTATGTATGTATGTATGTATGGATACATGTATGTAAGTATGTATGTATGTATGTATGTATGTATGTAGGTAGATATGAATGCATGCATGCATGCATGCATGCATGCATGCATGTATGTGTGTATGTATGCATGCATGCATGTATGTGTATGTGTGTATTCATGTGTGTGTGTATGGATGTGTGTATGTATGTGTGTATGTATGTATGGGTGTAGGTACGTGCGTACGTATGTATATATGTATGTATGTACGTATGTATGCTTGTATGTATGCATGTATGTGTTCTGGCCTCCTGCGGCCCAAATAGACTTATACGACCACCCTTCGGGTGATGAGGAGGTGCGGGGGGGGGGAACCAACGTCTCACCCAGTGTATCTCACTATCGATCGCCCTATCGATAGCACAATCGGTAGCACGATCGATCTCACGGTCGATCTCACCTCTGACATAACCAACGCTTGGAAGATAGATCTCTGAAGCCCTCGACAGGCGGTGGGCATTGCCATTGAAATACTCGTGGCCCCTGGCGCCCAGATATGTCCATATCAACAGGAGTCCCAGGACGTCAGTTACACAGGCGGGATGTGTTTGCGTTCCTCGAAGAAGTCAGAAGAGGAAACGGTACCATTACTGCCAATTGATTAACCCAGTGCCCCAGATAATAATGTACCTCCCCCCTTCAACCCCGTGTCAATAGGATTTAATTGTGGAGAGGGGCGCGGAGGCCGAACCAGATAATCACCGGGGTAAGTTGCGAATCGAAGTTGGTATCCTCCCATGTTGACTTACAACTGCATCAGAAACGCTGTGGTCTCACAATTTCAGCTTCCGCAATCACGAGCTTGTGGCAGGGCCATGGGATTCCCACCAGCTCAGTTTTCCCAAGTCACGAACGTGCGGCAGGGCCATGGGATTCTCACTTGCGCAGGCAAGCTGTGGCCACGAGCTTTGAGCTGTCTCGAGTCAGTCTTGCGCCAAGATCTAAAAGGTCAGCCTACACGAGCGCCCAGGATCATCATCATCATCATCATCATCATCATCAGCATCACCATCGCCAGGAAAATCGTTGATTATCCCCGCCAGACCCCCCGAACTTTATCATCCCCGGGGGATCATCATCGGGAGCACATGGTTCACACAATACGGCGTAAGCATCCATTCTCGACAGGCCGCGCTCCGCGCGCCAGGGCGGGGCTTCCAGCGCAGATCTACGATCTAAGATATCCGCGCGGCGTTCCGCGAGTTCTATGGATTGCTTGTTTCTCTCATGCTGCCCCGCGCCCTCCGGCCGCCTGAGGCCCCGCCCGCCCGCGCCCTGTCTCCCCAATTCGTGCTTTGCGCGCCCCGCCTAGCTCTTAACCGGAAGAGGCCCGCCCTCGACCCGCTGACCAAAACATATATATATATATATATATATATGTATATATATATATATATGTATATATATGTATGTATGTATATATATATATATATATAACGTTACCACCCATCCTCCGTCCTCGCCTTTTTGGGCCTCCTGGTAGGCCCCCGTCGCCACGGCTGGCCCCGCATCGAGATCCTGGTCGGGACGCAGCCCAGCAGACTAGATTTGGGCGGTGCGATTTGCTCAAAGCGGGGCCATCACAGGTCGGGCCAGCAGCGCGGACATTGCAACATAATGATGTGGTCTAGAGCTCCGGCCGTGATTTCCGATGATGTTGCATGGTTGTTTGCAACGCCGGAGCAGTACATGCCAGTATGGTTTTCGCGCTCCCCGAGTATCGAATCACACACGGAGTTGGGTCGGCTTTGGGCCTCGATGGTGGCGCATCTGTCGCAGCCCCTGGCGCGCTCCGCGTGCCAGGGAGGGGGGTCCACCGCTGATCCAGCATGTATGTCCGTGCGGAGCTCCGAGAACTCGCCGAAGGAGGGTGCGATCACAACGGGTATAGGGCCGGACGGCGCTTATAAAAGTAGAGGGTGGTGCGAAACGGGTACGAGCAAAATGGGTTGAAGCAGAAGTGTAACATGGGTACGATCGAGATGGGTAGAAGGTGGGCATAGGAAGAACAACATCAACATGGCGCCTGCCCGCGCGGCTCCTGTTCGGACCAGGGGGCGGGCAGAGGAAGGAGCGGGCCAGGCGAGGGAAGCAGAGGGGGCGGGAAGGCGAGGGGCCAAGGAGCCGAGGGAGGAGAGAAGAGGGGGGGTGGGGAGGGGAGGGCGGCGGGGACGGACAGACTGGGCGGACAGGCACATGGCCGGGGAGGCGGGGAACGGCAGCCACCGGGAGGGGGGAGGGATGGGGGGAGGGGACGCAAGACACAAGCGCACGGGAACGCAGGGGCAGGCGGAGGGGACGGAGCGGGGGAGGGAAGAAGGGGAGTCAGAAACCAGAAGCCAAGGCAACAATCGAGGAGCACGCAGGGCCAACGCGCACACAGGAGGAAAACGCAAAGGGCATCGCTGCGATGTGCACGTGCGGGCGTTGAGCGCCTGCACTGCGTTACGCCTGCGGCACCACCGCTCGTAACTCAACATTCACCGCGTGTCCGCTCGCACTTTGTCCTGCGTGTGCGTGTAGCGGGCTGCTGGTTCTGGCCCGTCGTCCACGAGACGCAGGGCGGAATGGCCACGGCCGCCTACGCCGCGGTTCGGGCCATCGCGGCGGCGGTTAGGGCCAAGGAGCGCCTGGAGCCAGGCTCTGTCTGGAGAGAGCGGCGGTGATAGCTCCTTGCGCGGCGCGGGCTATCAAGAACAGGGCAGCTCCGAAGCTGGCGCGCGGCGTGCCGCCGGCGGTCCTGCAGAGCCTCCGGGGCCATGCACTCCTGCTCCGTGCTCTTGTCGGTGCGCTTCCTCTGGTCGTACCTCCCTGCCGCCGCGCTGGCGCCTGCAACTGTCCCTTGCTAGTAGCCCGCCCCCCAGAGCATTTGGCGAGGCGGCCTCCTAGATGGGGTAGGAGTAGACAAGATGGGTCGGAGGATCGCGCCACATCGCCGATGCATCGCCGATGCGGCTCGATGCGGGGCCCGATTTGCTTCACGCCGGCGTCGCCGATGCATCGCCGACGTCGACGATGCATCGCAGGTGCATCGCCGATGCATCGCCGATGCAGTGGCGATGCGGTGCGTTTTTCCGGCCCCATGTATTCGGACCCCATCTAGGAGGCCTCTTGTGGGTGATTGCGATACACAAGCTTGCAGGCTCTGCTCTGGTCGCGCGCGAGCCGTCCGGAAGGCGCCTGGCCAACGCCGGCGCGGGGATGCACAGCACCTCTGCCGGCCTTCGCCGGCGGTGCCGCCCGAGCACTGCCCGCAGCACGCGGGGCGCTTCGCTCGGAGGGCGGAGCCCCGCCCGCTCGCCGAAGTTGAACACACATCACCGAGCGCGCTCCGCTACTCGCAGAGTGCCTACTCGCAATCGTCTGGAAAAGACACGTGTGCGTTGAGATGTGTTGTACACTCTAGGCGATGCTTAAGAAAACCCAAGTTTTCGGGCAGAGTCTCGATTATTCTTAATGTTTCAATGTAAATCCTAAGATTTGAATAGACATTCTGGGTTTTTAGTCAAATTCTGAGACTATTGAAGCATTTCGCAGGGTGTATCGCAAATCCCCCTATTTGGGTTTGGCCAGGACCCCAGGTGAGGGGACCTGGTCAGTGGCAGGGCCCCGGAGCCCCTAAATTGGCCATAGGGTCACTGAACCAGGTCTGTCGTAACCTGTGTTTTTTCGGGCGACGGCAGTTCCGGTTAGCGGAACTGGGCGGGGGGGGGTCCCCCAGTACACATTCCCTGAACCAGGCCCCACTGAACCCAGTGGTGCCCACGCCCGACCTACGGCGGATCAGGGCCATTTGTGAGCAGCTGCCCTGCGAGTCGTGGAGCGCGCTTGTCTAACAGGCGCCTCGCGCGCCAGTGTGCTGGGCCGTGGCGAGCCCCGCAGCGCCCAGCGCGCGCGCACCGCAGCGCGCGCCAGCCGCCCGAGTCCAACCGCTCCCCGCACGGCGGGCACGGGGCGGCCCCCGCCACGACGTCGACTCTTCGGGCGAAGGGCGACCTTTGTCAGAGTGGGAACAGGTACACACTCCCCCATCCCTGTTCCTTCCCCCTCCGCCTCCTCCTCGTCCTCCCCCTCCCTCGTCCTGCCCCCTCCGCCTCCTCCTCGTCCTCCTCCTCCCTCGTCCTTCCCCCCTCCGCCCGAGTTCGGGGCCACTGCAGGTTTTGTGCCTCCACGTCTGCACTGCTGCCCCGATGATGGTCAGGATAGCTCCCTTGCGGGGCAGCGGATCGGGCGGGCTGCGCGCTGGAAAAAACAAAGAGTAAGAAAAGGTACACACGTCTCCACCCGTTCATCGTTTTCCCCTTTTTGGGCCTCCTCGGAGGCCCTCGTCGCCACCGCTGGATTCGCCTCGAACTCCTGGGCAGAACGCACCCCAGGAGAGGCCCGGGGAGCAGCGGCATCGGCACCCTTTGGCTTCTCCACGCCGGTCGCGAAGTCGTCTTGCAGATGGTGCGTGTCGAGCGTCCCGCAAGCGATGGCGGGGAGGAAGGGGCAGGGGTGGGCGGCAACCGCGGCGAGCGCGGGAGGTGGAGGATGGAGGAGAAAGGGGGGGATTCTGTGGGAGTGGGCCTCGGAGCGACCAGCACCGTCGGTGAAGAACATGTCAGGGGAGGGAGGATTCCTCCCGGAGGAGGACGAGGAGGAGAGAGGACGAGGGAGGAGAGGAGGAGAGAGGAGGACGAGGCGGAGAGAGGAGGACGAGGCGGAGAGAGGACGAGGAGGAGAGAGGAGGAGGACGAGGAGGCGAGAGGACGAGGACGCCCCGCTCTCTTTTCTCCCTTCCTCCTCTCTCCGCACAGCTCCGTCCTGCCTCACTCCATTCCTCCCTTCCTATCCACCTGCTTTCCACTTCTTTCCATAACGGCTCAATCTGAATACCTCCCCCATCGCTCCTCTGAAGATGGACGGGGAGTAGCCCGCCCTCCTCCGCGTTGTGCTTTACAGAGGATATCTTTATTTGGTATGTCCGAGTTGTTGCTCACTCGGACCGTTTTCAGTGTCGCAGAACTTCACTGCCGCTGCCTTCTGGTGCATTTTGGTGGCCTTACTCATCTCCCTGGGGTGGGGATTCTGTAACATATCTTGCGTGTTTTTTGTTTACGCCGCAGGGACGACGGTACTGTTACATGCTAGCCGTTGAAAGTTGGTATTTCTGGATGCTCAGGTCCCAATCCACTTCAAGGGCCGTCCCACTTCAAGAATCGAGATGTGCTTGCTGTGTTTGGTTATTCTTTGTGAGGGCCTGACCCCAATCTACTTTAGCTGCACGCCTTCGTATTTCTGCCTCCTCCTTCCGGCCGGCGTGTATGTATGTGTTTAATTTATATATGTATGTATCGGTGCCTCCGCACTTGGTGGATGGTCGTCTCTCTTAGGGACCAGGAGCCCGTTGCCGATGGTGGAGGGCGATCGTGTCCAGCTGTTTGTTAATGCTTGTTCAGCACGTGACGGGCGAGTCGAAGGCCAGCATTCATCGAGGATCAAGAATGCCTGACCCCCAATAACATAGGATCGGCGTGGCCTCACTTAGGTTCCCGTCGTTGCACTATGGATGATGATGGTTTGCGGTTTGATTCGATGCATTTGCAGGAAAGACCCGGAAGAGCGCCTTCTGTAAGCGCTTGGAAGGGAGGGGGGGTCGAACCCCTCACCCCCCCTAACCCCTAATGTGTTTGGCCCTCCTAACACAGGTCGCCTCCCAAAGGGTTAGGGGCGCTGTTATTGTTAATCTAACTTCAGCGGCACGAGGGATATTCATACATATATATATATATATATTATATATATCTTGAGAGAGAGAGAGAGAGAGAGAGAACAAAAAAAACAAAAAATGATGGAATTGCTGGGAGGCTGCCAAAGCGGCTCCACCGTCGGGCGGCACAGGCGGCAGCTCCTGGAGGGGCGGGGACTGCTTGTTCTCCTCGGCCGCCTCGTCTGCCCGGTCGTGATCCGCAGCAGACCCCCCGATCGGAGGGCACCAACTATACACCAACACCGATCCTGGCCCAGGATCACCCTGGGCCCAGGATCGGTGTATATGCCTTCTTGCGCAAGGCAGGAGGGCGTATACACCGATCCTGGGCCCAGGGTGATCCTGGGCCAGGATCGGTGTTGGTGTATAGTTGGTGCCTTCCTACCCGAGGAGACCTGGGCGGTCTCAATGCCCTGGCGCAGCCCCCAGCGCGGCGCTCCGCTCCCCAGAATGCGGGAGTCGATCTTGAGAGCCGAAAGGAGTAAAGAAAGATTGGGTACGGAGGCCAGCAGCAACTCTCCTTTGTTTTTTTTGAACAGGAGTCGCTGTCGACGGCGCCGCGGGTATGGTCCTTTTGAGTCAAAGGTCGCCTGTCTTACAGTTGCTGCTGTTGATTTTGGACAACGTTTGCTGTTGGATACTGTGCTAATTTGTCCGTACCCGACTCGGGCGTCCAAATTTGAGATTTCTTTGGTCTGGCCTGTTCGGGTGGTTTGTGGATGCCAGCCGGAACTCCTTGGGGGGCTTCCTGCGCGCAGCACGAGGCCTTGCCAAGAGGAGAGGCGGAGGGGGGGAGGGAGGAGGACGGATCGGGAGTTGGGGGCCATGGGAAGGGGGGCGGAACAGAGCGGACCACTCATGAGAGAGGGATATCCTGACTTGGTGAGCGTGGCTCATGCCCAGCATGAGTTCTGGGGGGAGGATGAAAGGAGGAGAGAGGATCCAGAGTTACCTCCCGAGCCCCCACTCCCACAACACCTCCCCCGCCTCCCCCCCTCCAGTGCCGCCCGTTGCCCCTTCCATCCCCGCCCCGTCGCCCTCCATCTCCCTTCCCCCGGCCTCTCCTCTGGAACAAAGTCTTCGACGAGACGCCGACGAGGACGCTGTAAGACGACGACGCCTCCCCCTCCTCGCCGCCTCCTCCTGCCTCGTCCTCCTCTGGCCGCCGGTCTCTCGAGCCTCCCTGGCCGAGTCCTTCCAGGAGCGTCCTCGGCCCAAGGCGCCCTGAAGATCTCCGGGGAGGCCCACGCGGCCTGCAGAGCACGCCACGCGAGGCCCAGAGGGGGGCCCCAGGGGCTCCTAGGTGGCCCGGGCAGCTGGGGGGCAGCCTGGGCCAAGGACCGCCTTCGGGCGGGGCCACCACAGGGATCGATCGCTCCAGGGCGCCCTGGGACGCCTGAAATCTCAGAGATCCCGGATTCGTCCCGCTCCGATGAGGACCCCGTCCTGGCTTCCTCTCCATGCGGGTGGGCGGGGTCCGGGGAGCAGGCAATGCAGACACAAACGTAGAAGCTCGGAGGTCCGGGTGGATTTCTCGGATCCGCCCTGGTCGCCCCCTCCCAGTCGCGCGGAGCGCCCTCGGGCCGTCGCCGGAGCGCCGCCAGGGGGCCTCCGCGCCAATCCGAAGAATCTGCGCGGATCTCCGAGCGTTCTCAGTCAAAACGTATTGAGGACAGGTGGCAAGGACGCAAGGACCCTTGAAGGCCGAAGCTTGTGGTTTTGGTGGGGGGGCGGCGGGCGACCAGCGAGAACGGCAGCGGACGGGCCGCAGAGGCGAGGACGCGGGGGCACCCCAGACGACTGCGCGCGTCCTTGGCAGGCGCGCTGGCTGGCTGCTTCTGCCCGTCAGCTCGGGTATACCTAGGGCCCCAGATACGGGGACCCGGTTAGCAGTAGGGCCCCGCCCCCCAATTTGCCAGAGTCATTAAACCAGGTCTGCCGTAGCTGGTGTTTTTGGGTTGACGGCAGTTCCGGTCAGTGAGACGGGGCGGGGGGGGGGGGCGTCCCCGAGTACACATCACTAAACCAGGTCCCACTAAATCCAGTTCTGCCACCGCCCGATCAGTAGAAGCCCGAGTGGTGGCCGTCTTCGTCTTCGGCAGCAAATCGTGGGGGCTTGGTATACCTTCTCATGTCCGTCTTTCTGGCGTCGTCCAGCGTTTGGTGTCTTGCGGTTGATGAGATAGCGCCCACCTAGCGTCGATTCGCGTCGACGAGCGTCAGTTCACACCGATATAGCGTCGTGGTGGTGGGAGTGGCGGCGGTCGTGGTGGTGGTCGTCCTCGTCGTCCGAGGCGCGCACAGGTCGGGGGACACGCCAACATCGACCGAGGCCCGTGGATTGACGCATTGGCCGCGCGGCCTTGGCGCCATTCTTCGGAGCTGCAGTGGAAGCCCATGCCGAGAAGCAACCTGCTTGCCTCCAGGGTGTCCTGGGCTTCTTGGGTTCCGCTGGTTTCGCTGCGGAGGGCGTGCCGTGCCCACACCAAACATCAGCGGACGTCCTGGGGTCTCAGGTTGGGCTTCTTGTGGAAGGTCTCTTGTGGCGGGGCCCCTACTGTACCTTCCCAGTTCCACGGATCTGGCGACCGCGCACCAGATCCACGCATCCCGAATCCAGGCTTGCGTGCGCCTGATGGGGGGGGGAGCGCAAGGGGACGGCCTTCTAAGAGGGCGGGGAGCTCCCAGGAAGGCAGGGGCCCGGCCTTCTTGCAGAAGCCCTCCCGGCTTCTGCGGAGTCTTCCCAGAAGCTTCCAGGCCCTTCTGTGAAGTCCCCAGCCGTCTGAGAAGCGCGCCGCCTACCACCCCTGTGTGCACGTCGCCGAGAGGGAGGAGGAGGAGGAGGAGGAGGAGGAGGAGGAGGAGGAGGAGGAGGAGGAGGAGAGAGGAGGAGGAGGGAGGAGAGGAGGAGGAGGAGGAGGAGGAGGAGGAGGAGCGGAGGAGGAGGAGGGGAGGAGAGGGGAAGGAGGAGGAGGAGCGGAGGGAGGAGGAGGAGGAGGAGGAGAGGGGGGAGGAGGGGAGGCGGAGGGGAGGAGGAGGAGGAGGAGGAGGAGGAGGAGGAGGAGGAGGAGGAGGAGAGGAGGGAGGAGGAGGGGGAGCAGGGGGAGGAGCGCTTCTCGGAGCTCCGCGTGGACTTGATTTCTTGGAGCGGTGGCAGACCCCCCTCCCTGGCGCGGGGAGCGCGCCGGGGGCGGCGCCTCTGGCGCCCCAGGGGGGCCTTCGCAGATCCGAGAAATCCGCGGGGAGGAGGAGAAGGAGGAGGAGGAGGAGGAGGAGAAGGAGGAGGAGGCGAAAGTCAATGTTTGTGCTCCTGTTGTTACCCTAGAGGAGATCTCTTCTCTGCGCAGGTCCCATGCTGACCTTCGCTCCGAGGCCATCTTGGGCGCTCGCACGCCTCGCGACCCCCCCCCGTCCAGGTCCCGGGGGAAGGGGGGAAGGGGGGAGGGGTCCACCCCTCCCCCTGCGTCATGCCCCCCCCAAAAAAGGTGGGCATTAAGAGGAAACCCCTGACCCACTCACGCCCTAAAGGGCTGGTGGGATTTAGGCAGGTCCGATCTCTTCCCCGTCGTGAACGTTTTTATTACATGTTTTGCCGATCGGCGCGGGCCCTCGCACCCCCCCTCCCCCCCCATGGAGTAGATCTTTGCTGTGTCTGGCACCTGTTTCAAGCAGGTGGAGTCTCCCCCATAAGTCGCACTGTTGCGAACAGTCGCATGGAGCAGAGGTCCGGAGCCATACCCCCCCCTTCCTCCCCCCCTGCCGCTCGATGCCGAAACACCGAATAAGAAAACGTTCACGTCCTGGCTTCGCCTGCTGTCCTCGGATCGCGGGGTCCCGGAGCCGCGGGCCGGGCGGGCAGGGACCCGCCACTGCCGGCGGCTGTGGAGTCCCTGCGCCTGAACCTGGAGCGGGAGGCCCCCCCGCCGAAGCCGTCGGATGCGAAGTTTTGGGGGGAGGGAACACAATGCCGCCGCAGCTTCTTCCTCCTCCTCCTCCTCCTCCTCCTCCTCATCCTCCTCCTTGTGCTGCTCCTCCGCCTGCTCCTTGTGCTCCTCCTCTCCTCCTCCTCCTCCTCCTCCTCCTCCTCCTCCTCCTCCTCCTCTCCTCCTCCTCCTCCTCCCCCGTACGTAACTACATTGACTCATGCCACGGTGGGCTCAGGCGCCTAGCGTGCCGCGCCGCCCTCATCCTCCTCCTCTTCCTCTTCCTCGTCCTCTCCACATTCTCGTCCTCCTCCTCCTCTTGGTGCTCCTCCCACTCCTCCTCCTCCTCCTCCTCCTCCTGCTCCTCCTCTCCTCCTCCCCTCCTCTCTTCCTCCTTGTGCTTCCCCTCCTCCTGCTCCTCCGCCTCCCGCTTCCCAACCTCCTCCTCCTCATCATCCTGCTCTCCTCCTCCTCCCTCTCTCTTCCTCTTCCTCCTTGTGCTTCCCCTCCTCCTGCTCCTCCTCGTCCTCCTCCGCCTCCTCCTCCTCCACCCTCCCCCTACCGCCTCCTACTCCTCCTCCTCCTCCTCCTCCTCCTCATCATCCGTCTCCTCTGCCTCCTCCTCCTCCTCCTGTTCCTCCTCCTCCTCCTGCTCCTCCTCCTCTTCCTCCTGCTCTCTGTGCTCCTCCTACTCCTCCTCACCTCCCCCTCCTCCTCCTCCTCCTCCTCCCCTCCTCCTCCTCCTCCTCCTCCTCTCCTCCTCCTCCTCCTCCTCCTCCCTCTCTCCTCCTCCTCCTCCCTCCTCCCTCCTCCTCCTCCTCCCTCCTCCTCTCTCCTGCTCCTCCTCCTCCTCCTCCTCCTCCCTGCTCCTCCTCCCACTTCCCCTCCTCCTCCTCCTCCTCCTCCTCCTGCTTCTCCTGCTCCTCCTCCTCCTCTCCCTCCTCTACTTCCCCCGTGCGTAACTATTTCGGCTCCTGCCACGGTTGGCTCAGTCGCCTGGCTTGCCGCACGGCCCCTCGTCGTAGCGCTGAAGGCGTAGCTTCGCAATGCTGGTGCGTTAACCTGCCGTTTGAGCAGCACGCGGGCGTGCCGAATGCGAGGTACCTTTCTGGTGGTTTGGTAGAATTTCCTGCCAACAGATGAAGTTCCATGTGCTGGTGCACAGGGGCCTCCACTGAACGCTGCAGCAACAGGATGGCTGTCGTCTTGAACGGGCTAATTCGTGAGTGCAGCGGCATCCACTTTAGCTCGTGATTCTCGACGGCCCCATTGTGCACGATGGGAAGAGGAAGGACGTCATGCCCAAGTTGGTGCCCGAGGCAACACTGGAGACTAAGGGCTCCCACCGTGTTGTTCTGGCCAGCTGGGGGCTGCGAGGGCGCCCCGGTGGCGCTGGGGCCGTTGGGTGAAGCATGCGACCGTAGATCCAAACGCGAAGCAGGTGGGGGGCTTCATGTTGCGACCCCTCTCTCCCCCAGCTTGAGATGCGCGCGAGCCACCACGAGACGGAACAGCTAGGCGACCTCGGCCGGGTGACCAACATGGCGATGGCGCTGGAGGCTGAGCTTGAGGGGCTTGCCAACTGCGATGCCGCCACCAAGGAGGATACGTTTCATAACGGCTTCAACCCTATACTAGCCCAGTGGGTGGGAACTCTTGAGGCCACCGCGTGGCACCCTGGAGCTCGCCAGCCGCGTGGAGTGGTTCGACGGCAAGCTCAACATTCTCGACTTCAACCAGTTTACCATATGGACGGAGACGCTGGGGGCCGAGCCCAAGAGGCTCGCCAGCCGCGTGACCGCCATCGTGGATGAGCTTCAGCTGAACTGAACGGTTGCAGCAAGATGTCCGATTGGCTAGGGACCCTAACGGCCGCGCGTGAGACGCGCAATCACGAATTCGCCAGTCGTATGGGGGGTTAGACGGCAAGCTAGGCAAGGCCAGCATTAGCGTGGTGGAACTGCAGAATGTCTCTCTGAAGAGGGAGGTGAAGCAGGAGAGCGACTTCAAGATACGCGCAGCGGTGGAGACTCTAGGCCGAGTTCAGTTGACTTTGACCAGGAAGACGGAAGAGGGGCTGTAGCGGGACAGTTCGATGTCGAAGACCCATCAGCTTGAAACACATCTCGCCAGTTTGAAGGCGCAGGTCGGCAGCGACCTCGCCGAGTTCAAGGGCTCCTTGGTAGACGCCGTCCAACCGCTGGTCACGGCCTGCTGTTCGAAGGATGTCCGAGCACAGTATATGACTACCACACCACCACCAAGATCGATAATAATCTACGGTACGATTTGGTGCAGTTTTGCTCTGGTGAAGAGCCGGCAGTCCCCCTCCCGCCGCCAACGGCAGCCGGGTTGCGATCTCTCTCTCTCTCTCTTTCTCTCTCTCTCTCTCTCTCTGAAGGCCCGAAGCAGAATTCATCAAAGCACGCGCGGTGGTGGAGTTTACAATTTTGGTTACCAAGAGCGATTTTTACACACCACTACCACCGAGAAGTGCTGTTTCTGCTTCAGGAACTCCCAATGCCACGGCGCCTGCGAGCTGCACCGCGCTCCTGTTCGCCGTGCCGTCGCGGTGCCCTCTGGCATGACCCTGCCCCTAACCTTTTTGCGATCAACTACTGTTGCGGGCGGTGGTGGTGTATAACAATTGGCTTCGCAGGATGCGGCTGGCGACGGGCGCCGTCCGTCATTGAGAGGAGGCTCGCGCCGAGGTCCTCCAGATAGGCGGTGTCGACTTCTGTCGCGTCGCTTCGTCGCTCCTTCTCGGCAGGTGAAGTGCAGCGCCGCCGTGTCGGTGTCGTCGCCGCTGCCGGGGGCTGGCCCGCAGCCTGACCGCCCCGCGCGCTCCCCGCGGCGCCGCCGCGTGAGAGTGCGTTCGCCCCCTTTTCCTCCTCTTGCGGCCGTCCTCTGCTGCTCCGCCACCCCTCCTCCCTCCTCCTTCCCCCCTCCTCCCTCCATTCTTTGCATGCGGGACACTTCGCATCTCCGCATCCAGGGCTTGCCCGACGCGCGAGAGAATCACCTCTGCCACGCCGCCGCGACGGGAAGGGTATCGTCTTCTGGCTTCGACGGGAGATCGGGGGGATTAGCTACTGGGTCTCCTGCTCCTGCTGGGCGGGTCGTGAGTGCCCTTGTGGCGTCCTTCCCCTCATGCCTTTCTTAGCCTTTTGCGATGAGATCTGTCTAGCTGAATCCTCCTCCTCCTCCTACTCCTTCCCTTCCTCCTCTTCCTCCTTTTCCTCCTTGGTCTGCTTCTTCTCCTCCTCCGCCTCTTGCTCCTCTTCCTCCTCCTCCTCCTCCTCTTATCACTTCTCCACCTCATCTTCCTCATCCTCTTCCTCCTCCTTCTTCTCACCGGGGTTCGACATGTTCGGGTGTTCTTGTGTGTTCTCGATGCTTTTCCTGCCTCTGGATATCTTTCGCGGTTGCGCCACACCGAGGGCGTCCCAAGAGTGCCCGGATCGTTCCGAATGGCCGCTGGTGACCAGATGTTTGGCCCGATAGCCCAGCCGGCAGCGATAACGGGGGGGAGGACAACGCAGTTTTTTCCTTGTCGTCCTCCTCCTTGTCGTCGTCCTCTTCCGCCTCGTCCTTGCCCCCATTACCCCTCGTGCGCCCCCCCTTCCTGCTGGCCAGTCCGGGCGCGCGCCGTGTGCAAGAGCGCGGCGGCGGTTCATGACGACGCCGTTGCACAAGTTGGCTGTGCTCTTCCGACATTATTTTCAGCCGGTTGTTCCACTTACCCTTTTGTAGTCAGCAACGCCCCATGATTTCCCAGAGGAGGACGAAGGTGCCCATGCCGCTATTTCGCCTCGTTGTCCCATTGAGCATGTTGTCTGAACGTCTTGGGGATGCCGGCCGTGATCGTTTTTTTCACCCCTTTTGGACCACGGCACGCGATGTTGCCCGTTGTTGCGAAGATTTTTGGAGGATCCGAGTGGGTTCCTAGGAATTTGTCGTGGTCTCTGTCGTCCACGACCCGGAAGCCGAAAACGCGAGAACACACGTTTTTGTCTACATCTTTCTTGGGGCCGGTGGAGGAATGACCACGATCTCTGGGGGAGGAGTGGGTGCGAGAGAGAAAAGAGACGACCGAGGAACGATGAGAAAAACGGAGGAGAAAGGCGTAGGAAGGGGAGGAGGAGTAAAATGAGGAACAGGAGTAGGAGTACAGTAGGAGTCAAGCTAGCCAGCTCGAGCGAGTCAAGCATGGCATGCCCAGTCCCACCCGCCCTCCCACAACATAAGAAGCAAAGCTGGCACAACTGGGGGCCGAAGTCACACCGGCCAGCCGGTTTGGTACAGCTGATGCGGCCGCGATGGCGGTTGCCGACGGGAACTGGCGAGCGCGTGTTGAATGCCGCGCACGCATTGCCAGACGAGTCGAGAATGGCCCGGTACACCGCAGGAAGCCAGAGGTGGCCGGAGGAAGCCCGACGGTCTGACAGGACACCCCAAAACATTTTTGTGAAAAAGCATTGGGTTTTTGATGTTTTTATGTTGAAATGCTTGCAAACACACGGTGTTCGGTAGGATTCTGACATGAACGCGCGAGTGTGCTCTTTGTGGTATTTTTTGCACAGGATTCGCGGCCTGGGTGCATGACAGAGCATCGCGAGTGCACCGCGCGATGACGTGAAATCGCTGGATTTGACCGAATTCTTAAGATTCCTATGGTTTTCCTATGATTTCAGCAAGAGAGCCCGGGCGGGAAATTTGTACAATTTTTGTGAAAAAGCATGGGTTTTTGATGTTTTTATGTTGAAATGCTTGCAAACACACGGTGTTCGGTAGGATTCTGACATGAACGCGCGCGTGTGCTCTTTGTGGTATTTTCTGCAATGGATTATCGCCGTGGACGACAGGACGTCCATGTCGAGAGGAAAAAATAAGACAAATGTTGATTTTGTATTGTTTTTTTACAGGTTAGGATGGGACCACCCGGATGCGGCCCCTATCTGCCGGCCTGTGGGGGGAGTAGGAGTATATTC